CCAGGCATGTGCCAGGCATTCTTCTAGTTAGTTAAATAAATTATCGAAGCCACGGAGAAACTCGCAAGAGCAGCAAAATGTTCCTTCTAGTTCCAGTGTTCAGCCACAGTCTGGAGATGGCCCCACCTCAAGCACAGCCAGTGTCACTGAGAGGTAGCCTCTCAACAAAAGGCACTAGCACCCCCCCCACCCCCCGCCCCAGTGAAGTGCCCATTACATTCTTCACAGCTGTCTGAAATACAAGCAGCCCACAAGAAAAGAGGGGCGAGAGAGTGAAATGTGGAAGCACCAGTGTTCTTTCTGGTTGACCAAAACAAAGGAAAGCCCATCCGTAAAGCTGAGGACCCTCCCCGGCTCACCGTCCATCCGTGAATGATGAAAAAGGTTTTAGCTGTCATGTTGAAGCCGCAGTGTTCCAAGGGCTGGTCGTGCTTAAGGGAGAGGTAGCATCCTTCATGCTCTGGGTCCTGAGAGGTGCGGAGGTTAAATCTCACAGCGGGTTTGGAAGCAGCCTGCACCTCTCTGGATCTATTGCGTTCTTCTGGGGACAAACACAGACTTGGTAGTGAGACATCTGGGGTCCTATGCTAGTTCGACCCCAGCAAATTACTTCACTGCTCTGGGTTTCAGTTTTTATATCTGCTAAATGTTTCCTGCTCACCTCCCAAGAGAGTTGCAGAGCTAGCATTAAAGGAACATCTCATCTAGATTTAAGAGTATTCACTAGTCACTGGTATATTTAATTACTGTGACAGAAATAAAGAGCCCTCTCTTGCTTTTCTTTCTTCTTCCCTGTGAAAACGAGTTCCCCATCCCTTTCACAAACCTTTTCCTAAAATGCATGGAACCTTTTGAGTGTCAGAACTTAAAACTTTCTGGGGCATCCCTAGTCGTGCAAGGGGTTAAAACGCAGCACTATAAAGCTGTCCACAGCCCCTGCAGTATAAGTTCGATCCCTGGCCAGGGAGGTGACCCACAAGGTACAGCAGACCTCTCCTGTCTCACTGATCCCCTCAAGAGCATACTTCAGTTACTTTGCCTGATCTGCTCCCCATTCTGTTCTCTGGTGAATCTTCTCACCCCCACTCCTCTGGCCTATACCCCAGTTCTTGTATGTATAAAAAAAATTTAAAAATTGGGTCCTCCCTGGTGGCACAGCAGGTTAAAGCACAGCACTAAGAAGCTAAAGCCACTTCTGCATGAGTTCGAGCCCTACCTGCCTGCCCTGGAGGTGACCACATGGCGTGGCAGACCCCTCCTGACCCGCCCGCTGCTCCCCTCAGCAGTGTACATCGTCAGTCAGCCTGTACTACTCCCCACTCCGTCTCTGGTGAATCCTCTCACCGTCCCTGCATCTCTGGCCTGTACCGCAGCTCTATATGCACAAATAAATCTTTTAAAAAAAATTTTAAATTTCAGATTTTAGAAAGACGCTATGGTACATAGACCATATATTCTATAATATATATGGCTCATATAAACATATATATGCACTGTATAGAATATGGAGCATTAATCAAACACCCTAATATTCTGTCAGGAAATACATGCTACTCATATATAGCTTGTAAATAGCTCTGGTCCATTTTTGCTGCCCAATGAGTTAAAATGAAAAAAAGGCCAGTACTTGCTGTCAAACAAGTAACCAAACAAATTTTCCAATTTGGAGAGATTTGGGGAGAGATTTTTAGAATTGGAGGTGAGGAACTGTAGGCCTGTCATACAATGAACTCCCTAGTGTTCCCCTCCATGCCAGCACTTATTCCTATGACTTCAGGGCCCTCTGCAGTGCCAGGCATGTGCCAGGCATTCTTCTAGTTAGTTAAATAAATTATCGAAGCCACGGAGAAACTCGCAAGAGCAGCAAAATGTTCCTTCTAGTTCCACTGTTCAGACACAGTCTGGAGATGGCCCCACCTCAAGCACAGCCAGTGTCACTGAGAGGTAGCCTCTCAACAAAAGGCACTAGCAGCAGTCACGTGGTCATAAATGAACTCCATCAGCTCTTTTCCAGCCATCCAGGAAACCATGATACCAAACTGGGAAGTCAGAAATCAAAGGAAGAAATACCAAAGGACCAGCCAGCAGCTTAACTTATTTCCTCAGTTATGCTGCAAATGGAAGCATATAGACCGGCGTGTGAGGTGGTGATGAAGGGGATGGGAGGGAGGATAAGAATGTACCAGATGTGGCCCTCCCTGGTGGCGCAGCGGGTTAATTACAGCACTGAGAATCCAAAGCCTCTTCAGCATGAGTTTGAGCCCCGCCATGGAGGTGACCCACATGGCATGGCAGACCTCTCGCTGTGACCTGCCCGCTGCTCCCTCAGCAGTGTGCTTCATTGATCTGCCTGTTCTGCTCCCTACTCTGTCTCTGGTGAATCCTCTCACACACCCTTGCACCTCTGGCCTATACCCCAGTTCTGTATGCATAAATAAATAAACCTTTGGGGGGAAAAAAAGGATAAAGTTCCAGAAAATGCAACTAAATACACACAAGCCAAACTTTGATATTATGTACTGAACAAAAGTCCCAACTGGCAGAAATTTGAAACATGGACAAAGCTTATTTGACACCTCCCCAAAGAGTCACTCACACACAGGCCAGATGGGAAAAGGACAGGAGAAAAGGGGAAGGAGCCCACTGGCTTCCTGGGACTGATTAGTGGATGAACTGACATATGGGCATGAAAGGCCGGCCTTAGCATCTGGCCTTCTCTGACCCACCCTGCTCTCTCTTCACTCCCACCACTGCCAGCCCAGGGCACTGTACCTATGTGGCTTGAGGATTGCTGACCCTCAAGGCTGTTCTCACCGCCTCCGGCGCCTTGCTCAGTGGCCAGCCACTGATTAAAATCGCACCACCTTCCCTCACCAGCACCTCCAGACCTGCCTCCTCTACATCATTTTTCTCCACAGCACTGAGTGTCACTTACCTATTTTGATTAGTATATCAGATTCCCACCACTGGAAAGACAAACTCCACAAGGGCAGGGCTGTTTATTAACTGTGTTCACTGCTGCTATGAAAGTGCCTGGGATGAAGGAGGCCTGCCAGAAATACTTCTAGGAATGAGCGAAATGGTTCACAAGGGCTCAGAATTGCAGAACACAAGTTGGGAGGAATATTAGCACTTTATAAGAGAAGGCCTAGAGAGGCAACCTACTGCTAGTTAACACTGCTAGAGTTGCAAATATGTCAAGTAAAGCAAGATTTTCCCATTCATTCAGATTAACCCTTCCACACCCGCAAAAGTTGACATGGGCCAGCATCATTTGGCCCAACATAGAAGAGGAAAGAATGGGGTGGAGTTCCAGAATTCCTTGGTTCCCCACTGCTTAGTTAATTGACTTGGAACTCCAACTGGGTGACTCTGAAAGCAATACTCCAGAACCAGCTACCCTTGCCATCTTCACTTTCAAAATGCTATGGCACAGTTAAAAAGAGAGGCACAAAGCCATAGAGCTCTAACAACCTTCTTGCCTGGAAAACCTGTAGGTTTAAAGACAAGGACATGAAAAAAAAAACCTGCTAGCTCCAACTAGGCTGACTGGACAGCACGGATTAAGAGAACCATATCACAGAGGAGGGTGCGACCAGAGTGGGAGCACCCTGCCAGAGAAGGAGCACCCAGCTAGAGAGGGAACATCAGGCCAGAGACGGAGGGAGCACCCCACCAGAGTGCAGCACCCTAGGCACAGGCCAGGGCAGCCTCTCCACCCCCTTGTAGGGATGCCCTTGTAGCTACAAAGTTGCTGGAGAAGCTAACTGACAGTGCAGTGGGGAAAGGAAGGAGGAGCTTGAAAAAAAAAAAAATGAGGGGGGACTGAATAACTGTGGGCAAGGCGCAGGAGTCCCATGCAGAAAAGCAATGGGGAGAGGGAGGGAGAAAGGTAATAAAATAAATGCACGTTACCTTGCAACGGCTCCTCTGGACCAAGGGGTGAGGTGCTTCCCGCAAAGCAACAATAGACGTGCCAGAGGCAGAGTAGAGGAACCGAGTTTCTCATCCTTTCCGCCCACACCCCCTCAATGGACCTGGGTTGGAAAAGAATTACAGCACCTCTCCGGGTTCCCAGCAATCCGAGTCGCTAGGATTCCAAGCGAGAGCCTTCTCGCCACCAGAGGCTGGTGGCTTGGACAGCTGAAGGTGGAAAAAGTGGAAAATAAAAATTTGATTAAATTGAGCCGCGGGGTGGTGGGAGGTGGTGTGGAGGGGCTTGAGTGAGACCTGCCCTCGCCGGTGTGGTCCGCAGGGAAGCCAGGGCTCGCCGACGCCACACGGGAGAGTTCCCGGCCAGTAGTTTTTTTAAAGTATCGAGTCATCTGACCCATCGCCAGATGGTTATTTGCATAATTTATGCTAGTTTCCAGAGCTCTGATTGGTCACACCTTCACTGCGCCCGACCGAGACTCCCCAAAGTTTGAATGAAAGCGCCGCGCACCCACCAAAGGGACTGCGCACAGTCAGGTTTGCTCCCTGTCGGCTCCGCTGCCGTCTGTCAGGCTCCCGCACCCGCTTCCTCCCACGGCCCGCTCCAGTACCCCAGCAGTGCACTCACACTGGGTACCCCAGCAGGAACACCGCCCAGAAACCCTGGGCCCGCGGGTGGCGCGATCCTCGGAGCAGGAATCTTTCCCTTCCCAAAGTGCAGACACGCCCGCGCCCGGAGTGAACCAGGATCGATGCTCTCGGGATGGGGGGAAAAGCCACCTGCGCACAGTCTATTCCTCCCTCAGCGCCGCTGCTCTCCGCCAGGGCCGCAACAGGTGCGGACTTAGTGTTGGGAGGTGATTCCGGCAGAGCCCGGGGGCTGTGGGTTGTGGTTGGGAACAACGGACCTCTAGAATACCAAGTTCTCGCTCCACGAGCAGCAAAACTCCGCCCAAGATTCTTCGAGACTGTTCCCTCGTCCGCAATACTCTGCTGGTGGCTGTTTCTGCAACTGGGATGTTTGGGAGGAATTCAGAGATGAACTGGAATCAAACCCTTTGTGCAGCGCCGGCCACGTGGCAGGTGCTCTCTCGCCTCAGGGATGGAGGGCTGGAGGGATACCACGATGGAAGGTGCGTGGCCAGCAGGGAGTCTCTGCCTCCGCGCTTACCTCCCGTTGAATGCAACTAAGCAACTTCTTCTTCCCCCTCATTTTTCCCTCCACACCTTCCCTTCATTGATCCACACCCCCAGCTCTTCCCCCTGGCACTCAGCAGCGGCTCTGGCTCCTCTTGGAGAACCTGGGATCGACTGCGATCAGAGCTTAGAAACCACAAACCACAGCCGGCAACAGCCGAGCGCCCCTTCCCCCTCTACACACACCTACACTGAAAGAGCAACTGCGTCTCCACAGCCCTTGGGGCTGCCGATGGGGTGGGAGAGTTCGAACGCGTCGCGGCAGGGCGCCGGCAGCCCGCCAGATCTGGCTCTGCAAGGCTGCACCTTTGACCGCCAATAACCCGCAGTTGCCGGGAGCAGGTCCTGCTTCTGTCTGGAAGCTGCCCGTGGGGTCCCTTGCTCATTTTCCCCTAGTTTCGGGGTCCCAACCCGGGAGAGCTGTAGGGAAACCAGTCGGCAGGAACAGGCAGCCCCTGTTCCGACCTATCCTCCTCCTTAGTTTTGCTACACCAGTCACCAGCAGAGCACCGGTTGTTCCTCCAGTTTTCTGTCATACATTAGCAAGAGGCCAGCTAACTATTTCTTTTGGGGGGAGGGTATAAAACTGAATGCATTTTGCAGGGGGGTAAACAACACCCCTAAACATGTTGCTTTCCTTTCACCCTTGTTCTCCTCCATTTGCGAACTATAAAGACATCAATCAAGTGTTCACCCATTTCACAGACGAGAAAATGGAATAACAGATTGAAGGAAGTCTTGACAACCAGGTTTCTCTCCTCTGCTTTGGGTTTCATTTGACCAGTTATCTCCAAATATGAACCCTTGGGAACCATGTCTCCCTCTTCAAAGGCTGAGGCAGTAGGTAAAGGAAGCCAAAATCCCTCTTCTCTGTTCTGAGTTGTACAAAATCATGATCCTTAAAACTGTAGCTGAACTACAGTGTACAGGGAATGTCTTGGGAATCTTTGTCACCGGTGACATCCACTGGGGAACTAGGTATTCTGAAAAGTTGGTTATCCTGCCGAAGAAAAAGAAAGCAGATGCAACAAAATCACCACCCGTGTTTTCACTGCCAAGGCTTTGAAATCATTTACATTGTATTGTTGGTTGGTTAGAGTGCCCTCCTGTGTCTCCAAATTAAAATATGTGAGAACTTTCAAAGGACATAATGCAATTACAATCACAGCACTAAAGTAATAAATAAATAACGTTTACTGCTCATTAAGCTTCATGCTTTCCAGATGAACCATGAGCAGACCTGGGACCTCCCTTGTTGAGGAAGTCCCTGCCTAGGGAGTGTCAGCAGAATATTCTATTTGAGTTACAGTAAAAATTTGAAGGACTCGGCGTACTCCAGTGAAAGACTGGTCATTTTTTTTAGGGGGGTAAGGTGCTGCCTAGCCTCTGAAGACACCTTCTATGTCAAAGGAATGAAGACAACTTTTATGAAAGGAAACCACTTCCCATAATAGAAGCTGAAAAGCAAACATACAACTTTCTAGTCTCCCTTGCAGCTGCAGTTCTTGATTTAAACTCAGTCAAATATTGTACTAGAAGCTCATGTGGCCAGAAGCCCTAAGCCCTTCCACTCCATCAATGAGGCGCAGGCAGAGCCAGTGAGCTCTGGTTTTTGCAGAGGGGGTTACTATTCAAATCCGCTCAGGTCTGCAGTGGATTTGGGCACTGCTGCCCACCTAGATGCTTCTGCAAACCTGCTCTTCTGCCCTGCACTTATTCTGATTGCTACCAAATATTCACTTAATGAGTTCTTCTGCATAAATGAGCCAGAGCTTGTAGCACTTATCATTAAGATGATATATTCACCAAATGTCTATTGAGCAACCACTAGAAGTACTAAACAGTGGAGCACCCCAAGCAATGCTTGGGAAGCTGTTCCTGTCTCATAGCACAATGTACAAAGTTAACAGTGCAGGCTGCTATGTGGGAGTTACCAGATATCTAAACCACTGTTGTCCAATAGAAATATAATACAAGCCACATGTCTTAGCTCAAGCTGCTATTAAAAAGCACCAAGGTTGGCTGGCTCAAACAACAAAAATGTATTTTCCACAGCTTGGAGATTAGACCCAAGAGTTGGATGCAAGTGTAGTCAGATTCTGATGAGAGCCCTCTTCCTGGCTTGTAAATTAGCCACCTTCTCTTGGTGCCCAAGTTGGTGGTGCAAGTTGGCTGCAGCTGCTTCATTGTCAGTTCGATCCCCACCCCTGGAGGTGACCCACATGGCTCAGCAGACCTCTCCTGATCTGCCCGCTGCTCCCCTCAGCAGTGTGCTTCATCAGTCTGCCCTTTCTGCTCCCCACTCTGTCTCTGGTGAATCCTCTCACGGCTCCTGAACCTCGGGCCTGTACCCCAGTTCTGTATGCACAAATAAATAAATCTTTGGAAAATAATGCAAGAGGAGCAAAACCCCAGAGCAGTTCTGTGTCCCGTGTCTAAGCAGGTGTGTCTTTTTTCTTTCTCCCTTTCCTAATAAACCTGTTCTTTCAAGATGTTAAAAGAAAAATAAAAAGCAAAAACAAATAGAAAGTGTAATTAAATTCACAGCTCACTCAGAATCTATTTTCCAAGCTCAGAAATGAGAAAAAAAATACAACTGAATAAAACCATTAGGAAAGACTATTGGGTGGAGATGGAACTGTGAAGATCTTAAAGAACAGAAAGGCCTCATGTCCCAACGCTTGCTGCGACTTGGACCCCCGAGTTACCGGATATCAGCATCTCCCACAGAGAAGTGGAGGGGAGCCGGAACTGCCTTGGAGAGTTCTCTGTGCTCCCTTATTCCAATTCCTCCATTCTGTTGCCTTTTTTTGTTTTTTCAAAGATTTATTTATTTATGCTTACAGAACTAGGGTACAGGCCAGAAGTGTGGTGGGTGAGAGGATTCACCAGAGACAGAGTGGGGAGCAGAACAGGCAGATTGACAAAGGACACTGCTGAGGGGAACCGTGGGCGGGTCAGGAGAGGTCTGCCGCCCCACATGGGTCAGCCCCGTGGCTGGGATCGAACTCCTGTTGCAGTGGCTTCGAGAGCTTCATAATGAGGTGCTTTAACCCGTTGTGCCACCAGGGAGAGTCTTCTTGTTGCCTTTTGAGCTCTGCCACCTTATTCATACATCAGGGTCACCGGTGGCCTCTGCATAGTACTGTTGTCCTCAGCTGTCCCTTAACCCAGATTTCACCTTCAAGACTCATTTGAAATTTGACCAATGTTTAACACGACTACTGTTCCCACCTGAGTCCAGTCAACCATCACTTTTCATCTGAAATATCTCCGGTGACTCTACAATTCATTGACAGTGGAGTATTTCTTATGCTATTACCAGAATTAGGTTTTGGCGATTTGTCACTCATAAGCCAACTCTCCAGAGATAAGAACTGGTAGAAGGAAATGAGGTTTAATCAGGTGCTGTCCCCTCTCTGATCACTTCAGGAGTCATTCTTTCAGATATTTGGACAAATGTCACTGAAACGCCTTTGACCCTTCAGTTACAACAGCCCCCACCCGCATCTCCCTCCTGCTTTATTTTTCTCCACAACACTTAACACCATCTGATGAAGTGTCTAGTTTAACTTATTTGCTTACAGTCTACTTTCCCCCACTAGGATGAAAAGAATTTTTGTCTATTTTGATCATTGCTAGATTCTCAATCCTAAGACTTCTAAAGTAATTTTAGAGTAAACACATGAATAAATTCTAAACTATTTAAACTTTTTCAGGGCCAAACAAAAAAATAAGTTTCAACATTCTTTTTATAAGAGTAACACTTATAGCAAACCTGACCATTGAAATGTAAGAAAAAATTAAGGACACTATTAACAGGTCCTTTTAAAATATATTAAATGAAATATTAGCAAATAAAACTCAACAGCACATTAAAAGGACAATCTATCATGACCAGCAGAGAGACAGTCAACCTAGAAATACAAGCAGGGATCCATTCTAGGAAATCTACAATTCACCACATAAACCATCAAGGGTAGACAAAAAAATTTCAGGAAAAATTA